TTGTCTTGCACCTTGTCCTTGTCTTGCACCTTGTCCTTGTCTTGCACCTTGTCCTTGTCTTGCACCTTGTCCTTGTCTTGCACCTTGTCATTGTCTTGCACCTTGTCCTTGTCTTGCACCTTGTCCTTGTCTTGCACCTTGTCCTTGTCTTGCACCTTGTCATTGTCTTGCACCTTGTCCTTGTCTTGCACCTTGTCCTTGTCTTGCACCTTGTCCTTGTCTTGCACCTTGTCCTTGTCTTGTACCTTGTCATTGTCTTGCACCTTGTCCTTGTCTTGCACCTTGTCCTTGTCTTGCACCTTGTCCTTGTCTTGTACCTTGTACCTTGTCTTGCACCTTGTCCTTGTCTTGACAAACCGCAACTATAAAACTGAACGCTATTAACGCTAGTGTCGTGCACAAGCAGTTGAATGCTCTGTACAGCTAATAAGAGACATGATTCAAGTCGTTCTCTGAATTTTAAGCAAGCAATTTAGATGGAAAGTATTTCTAAATGAAGGAATTATTGACAACAAAATGTATATAATAATATTTGTAATAATCCACGAGACGCTGACAAGTTGTAGGCATGTGACACGTCACTGGACGAGGACGCGCAGCTCGCTGACGCTGACGACGCAGTTGGCGAGGTCGTCGTAGTCGCAGAACTCGTCGTCCAGGCACACGTCACTGAAGCTCTTGGAGCTCTCGCTGCCGTCCACCGTCCAGCCGTCCTGGGGGCGGATTTATTAAAGCGACGTGTCACGATACACGACACATTACGTCACGACACGGCACATCCCGTCACGTCACGACACATCACGACATGTCACGACACATCACGACACATTACGTCATGACACAACATGTCACGATACATTACGTCACGACACGGCACATCCCGTCACGTCACGACACATCATGACACGTCACGACACATCACGACACGTCACGACACATCACGTCACTACACATTACGACACATCACGACACATTACGTCACGTCACGGTACATCACGACACGTCACTCGCCTCCCTCACCCCCATTCTGAAGCTGTGCAGTCTGAGGCCCCGACACTCGAAGGCGACGATGGCCTTCGGACGAGGAGCGTCGTCAGCCATGTACGCCACCTGGCTGCCAGCCACCACGTCTGCAACACGCTACACGTCAGCCACCTGGCTGCCAGCCACCAACCCCACCCTTCCTTCCCCTCTCATCTCCCGCATTTAATTTATCTAAACAATCTACCGTATCACCCCTCATCTGCCCTCTTGTCTACCTTCTCACCACCTCACTGCTTCATCTACCCTCCCGTCCACCCTATCCCTTCCTCATCTACCCTAATGCCTACCCTGTCATCCCCTCTACCCTTATGTCTATCCTATCACCTTATCTACCTCTTGTCTATCCTTTAACCCCTCATCTACCCTATATCCTCCTCATTTTCACCTTTTGTCTACCCTCTTACCTCTCATCTACCCTATCACCCCCGCATCTATTCTCTTGTCTACCCTCTCACCTCTTCATCTACCCTCTTGTCTACCCTCTCACCCCTTCATCTACCCTCTTGTCTACTCTCTCACGCCCTCTTCTACCCTCTTGTCTACCTTACCACCCCTCATCTACCTCTTCACCCCATCTACCCTCGTATCTACTCCCTTCCCCTCATCTCTGACACGTCGCACGGAGCGTCGTGCGCGATAACAGTTAAGGGATATAAAGATATCCTGTGGGATGTCCACGAGTAACAGCGAGGTAATATCCACGAGTAACAGCGGGGTAATGTCCACGAGTAAGAGCGTGGTAATGTCCACGAGTAACAGCGGGGTAATGTCCACGAGTAACAGCGTGGTAATGTCCACGAGTAACAGCGTGGTAATGTCCACGAGTAACAGCGTGGTAATGTCCACGAGTAACAGCGTGGTAATGTCCACGAGTAACAGCGCGGTAATGTCCACGAGTAACAGCGTGGTAATGTCCACGAGTAGCAGCGTGGTAATGTCCACGAGTAATAGCGTGGTAATTTTTATGCTATTCCTGTTTGAAAATATATACAATAAAAGGTATAATCTGTACTTGGAATTGTTTAATTTAAATTCTCTCGCAGAGCATATTATATACAGAGACAGGCTGTGCGACATACCTGCTGCCTCATATATTTTAAAGATAATTTAATCAAAAACGGAAAAAAGATAAACACTGAAGAAATCTTTTGATAAATAGCAACTTCTTCATTCATAATGTAGTGAAATGAAGTGTTTAATAAAATGTAGTGACATAAAATGTTCATTTCAATCGAAGCGTGAAATCGAAACTCCGTTGAGTTTCGTCGATTTGTTGGTTAAGAAAAATCTGCGGTCGTCGTACACCCTTGTTGAAAATGTTGATCTTTAGATAGTCTTGTATTGTTGTGTGTTGCTGTGTGTTACTGGTGTTGTTGTGTGTTACTGGTGTTGTGTGTTACTGGTGTTGTTGTGTGTTACTGGTGTTGTTGTGTGTTACTGGTGTTGCTGTGTGTTACTGGTGTTATGAGTGAGTTATGAATAACGTTATTAACATCATAACCTCCCCCATCAGTGCACCCGCGGTTGCCGTCTCTGGGTGACGTCGCTGAACTCATCGTGCTCCTCAGTCTGCGTGAGTTGACCCATAGCAACCCCCCCTCATCCCAAGGCATCAAAACCCCCATACTCACACGCATACCGTTGCCCTACACCCCCCTAATGCGCCTCCCCCACACCTCTACAAAAATGCTAAGCTCCCTTCCCTATGCGCTTCTCCCCCTCCCACTCTCCCCTCCATACTCCCATAAACCTCTTCCACATATCCTAGCCTCACCCAAAAGATTCCCATATGACTTTATGACTAGTTTAGGACGTCGCAGTCCCCGGTCACGCTGATGCGCCGCCTTCGTCGTCCTCCGTCTCCAAGACGTCACTAGGCAGGTCACCCCGCCCTCGGGTCCCGGATGCAACGTTGGACGTGTTCCGTCTATTAGCCCTCATTTGGGCCAGCTGATGCAAGATGCTGTTGCTTGTCACTTGCTGATGGTAGTTTCCCATTACTGGACAGTCCGGGATCTTGCTCAACCACTTGTCCAGTCGTCTCTTGAATGTTGCAAGGGTAAACTCCCCTCCTCTCAGCGCTTTTGGCAAGGCATTAAAGAGCCTCGGTCCTACCCACACAGTGATCCTTCACGAAGAGTCTGTACTCTGGCCGCGGCTCGGTTATTAAATGGGGGAATCCTGCACAGTCTTTCCCTCCTTTCGTTGTAATATTTCACTATTTCGTTGGTTATATATGCCATACTCCCCCTACAAAATAATTTATCTTCACCCCCTGGTAACGTAATTGTAATAATGTATTATAATATATATGACGATCATTGAAATAACGTAATCCTAACCCCACACCCCTGTTATCTCCCAGGCTGACGTCTTCACCTGCGTCCTCGGCTGCTCCTACGCCGCCGTCAGCTACGTCAGCACGCGTCGTGGTGGGTGCCTCGTGTAGCTTCTTGGCAGCCATCGAGTTTTAAGTTTTGCGAGATGAACAACTGAAAATAATGACTATATTTTTTATGTATTTTCATGCCAAGTAATGAAATTTATTAATCCTTATTTTTACAGAGCTATTAGGAACTCCTCCGGCACCGACGCTGGTCGGTGGGTCACTGAGCAGCTCGTCGGTTGGGTTGCGTTGGCTGATGGACCTTCCAGCCAACAGTTCAGCCAGCGCACCAGCCATCAAGTCAGCCAGCTCACCAGCCATCGGATCAGCCAGTTGGTTGCCAGTGAGCTTCGTGCCGCAGCTGAGAGTGTATGGTCGTCACTGGCGCTCGCACAACAACACGCGCATCGTCAGTGCCACTGAAGTCGTACTGGAGGACCTCTTACCCTACACCAAATACCAGGTCGTATAATTGATAACAAATATCAGTGTTACAGCCTCGTTGATAACAGTTTGATAAGTTAGGATAACTGCTCGGCTCCGTGGTCAAGAACCGCGTTGTTGGAGCTGTGTGTTGTCGGTTTGAATCCCAGCTACCTATGATAATGATGAAATTTTACGATCTCTAGTACAGGCAAGACATGCCTATTATTTAGCAATAAAACATTAAACTATATTATTATTATATTATTATGCAAGTGAATTAGGTTGTATGATGAACAAATCCTTGCTTATCACACGAGAATTTGGGAAGATATGTAATGCTAGTTACTGCCCAGGTAATTGTGTGCCTAGTATCAAATAGTTACTACGTCTGTAACTGGCGGTGTTGTGTTCAGTGCCAAACTAGCTAAGATAAAGCAAGAAGATTTCGAAATGGCATAAAGAATATTAAACGCGGCAACCAGCACTGTGACGTCATCGGATCAGCCAGCGTATATAAAACGTAGAGGCTCCTGCAGTTCAGTTCAGTGGTTGAAGGCAACGTGGAAGGTCGCGCATTCGTAGCGGTGGCGTGAGTCGAATCCAGTCGGAGGAAGACCAACATCGAGGATGGTTGCACTCGGGCGTTGCTGAAAGTCCCAGATCGTAGGAGAGACAATGCACGAAACACATTCAGAGGATATTTATAGACTGTGTGGTCCAACCTACGGAATATTCAAAGATTTTGTGAGAGCACTCGTATTAAATTTGAAGCAAACAGTCCACGATGGAACGTAGTCCCGCAACTGAAAGGCTGTATCAGAAACACACACGACACACCCAGAGGAATCGATTGAATAAATAGCAGCAGATGATTAATAAATAACATTGATCGAATAATGTCAACAAAACAAATGATCGCCGTTTGCCCCGCACCAGCATTTATTAAAATTGCGTTCACCAGGACATGCACGAGGTAGTTGAACCAAATGGCAGACCCAGACCAGATGGAAGCACATCATTATGAACGACTCCAAAAATTGCTCTTCTTGTCTTTTCCAACAGCGCTGTTCTAAATCTTCATCCATGTTTGTCTCACTATTTTCTCCCAACAGAACGGGAAGTCTAGGTTAACAAGAGAACATTGTTTAATTAACAGTGAACGAAGTCAGCGTTGAACCCACGCCACAGAGTAATAAAACTAAACATATTGACAGACACCGGCCGATACCTCAATATATGAAATAATCCTAAGATCAAATAAATGCCACACTGTAATCGTAACACCCAGCACTTCCTACCTCAACTAGTGACCATAACTAGCTCTCCTTCACTAGTTCCGTGTAGTGTGGGCGCTGCTGCCCGGGAGGGAGGGTGTGCCCTCGGCGCCCACCTCCTGGATCACGACGCTGTCGTCCGGCCCACCCCGCACACCCCCCACGGTGGGTGCCCCACAACATTGTTAAGTCAGGCATTCACCCCTCTGTTGTATTTAATTCCACTCCATGCATTCATTTAAATGAATTACTCATGTCTCACTAACGTCTGTTTTTCAATAAACGTGAATCACCATTTCTTGTACCCACAATAATAATGTTTATGTATTATAATAAGCAGAAATTTCAATATATTCAATAGCTAACTTTATTAAGTCAACATCACTGTTGTATTTAATTCGACTCCGTGCATTCACTTGCATGAATTACTCGTGTTGTCGGGGCCCATTCAATGAATAAATGATATATAAATAAAGCCGTCAGTGGCCACCAGACATTTACTTAAAACGTGTCTTAATAATTATTGCCATTAAGAAGGATGAATAAAACTGAATAAATGAACAAACAATAATAATTCAAACCACTTATCAATGAATAAATAAACAAAACAAAACCGTGCGCTTTCATTAGGCCGACTAACTATTTTCTCTAATGAACGGAGCCAGTTCTAATATCGGAGCCTTTCTCTGTGGTGGAATCGCACAAACGAATGACAAGATATAGTGGATTCCTACGCGAGGTCACGTCAGTGGTGACTAAAAACCCTAAAAGAAAAATCACTAATCTAATATTTACAATAACATCCATAATCTAATATTTACAATAACATACGTCCCCTTACAGTGTCTCACTAACGTCTGCATTTCATCTAAAATGATGTGACTTTAATCGCAACAACTTACGCTGCATCCTTCCTGTGTCCTGAATTATATTCATGCTTGTCATATGTCAAGCTACATTATGTTAAGAGGGTTGTTAGTATTAACTGAGCAGTTACATTATGTTGAGTGGGTAAAGTGGCTTGGTTAGTATTAACTAACCAGTTACATGATGTTAAGTGGGTTAAGTGGGTTGGTTAGTATTAACTGACCTTTTACATGATGTTGAGTGGGTTTAGTGGGTTGGTTAGTATTAACTGACCAGTTACATCAAGTTAAGTGGGTAAGGTGGGCTAGTTAGCATTAACTGAGCAGTTACATTAAGTTAAGTGGGTTAAGTGGGTTGGTTAGTGTAAACTAACCAGCCACATTATGTTAAGTGGGTTGAGTGGGTTGGTGTGCTGCAGGCGCTGACGGCGGTGGGCGTGGACGCCACGCGGGTTGAGGTGCGGTGGGCGGCACCCGAGGTTGCGGGTGGGGCGCTTGTTTCGTACGCCTTGTCCCTGCGTGGTGGGGCAACCCACCTCAAGTGGGACGTCGAACCCACCGTCAACAGGTGGGCTATCTTCATAAGACTTCTTTCTAACAAAATTTAGAGTCGCCCCAGCTTCTGGTAATCAGAAGCTGGGGCGACTGCTACCTGTAACAAAATTTAGAGTCGCCCCAGCTTCTGGTAATCAGAAGCTGACGCGTCTGCTACCTGTAACAAAATTTAGAGTCGCCCCAGCTTCTGGTAATCAGAAGCTGGGGCGACTGTAAATTTTCACTGGGATATTATTTCTCAGCACACCTCTTCTTCTTATATATGTGTGGGTGGCGATAGTGCTGTCAACTGTTGCCAGATACGTGTTGACATGCCTGTTATCTCTGTTGCGGATGCGTGGTGACATGCCTGTTATCTCTGTTTCCAGATACATGTTGACATGCTTGTTATCTCTGTTGCCAGATGCGTGGTGACATGCCTGTTATCTCTGTTGCCGGATACGTGGTGACATGCCTGTTATCTCTGTTGCCAGACACGTGGTGACATGTCTGATATCTCTGTTGCCAGATACGTGGTGACATGCCTGTTATCTTTGTTGCCAGATACGTGGTGACTGGGCTGCACGGCAACAGCTCCTACGAGGTGCGGGTGGCAGCTGTCAACAAGGACGGCCGCGGCCCCGCTGCAGTTGCCACTGTCACCACTTATGCCGATGTTGACGGTAAGTAATTCAATTTTCCGGCACTTTTAGGATTCGGTAACATTTTTCTCGCGAGGTTAGCTCGACAATAATAAAACTTTGAAATGTATGTGGACTGTCACTATATTGAATATATAGTGCACATTAAATTGTATATTGACGTTAGTATACTGACTGTCACTACTGTGGTAACTTGGTCCAACATACAATATTCAGCAGTCAGCGTTGTTTCACGTATAAAAAGAAAAGAAAATTTCATGATTTTTACGTCTATTTTATGTGAAAATTGTGCGTGAATTGTTGCATCAACTAAGATAACAGGGACTGCTATAACACGAGGTGGGGAAATAGCCTGTTCTTAATATTTAGTTTCAGCTTCTACTTATTGACGCACCCGTTGTCTTCATTGCAAATTGTCTTTATTGCATACTGTCTTCATTGCAAATTGTCTTTATTGCATACTGTCTTCATTGCAAATTGTCTTTATTGCATACTGTCTTCATTGCAAATTGTCTTTATGGCATACTGTCTTCATTGCATACTGTCTTCATTGCATACTGTCTTCATTGCATACTGTCTTACATACTGTCTTCAATGCCTCTTATCTCTGCGTCGCTTATGTTGTTCTTCAGACCAGCTAAGCGGCGGTGGCGGTGGCGGTGGCGGCGGTGGGTACCTCCTGCTGGCGTCGGGCTACAGCCTCTGGCGCCTCAACGTGGACATCATGCAACCCCCCACCCCCCTGTACAACACCTCCCACCGCTCCCCCATAACGGGTGAATGCTTTTTCTATCATCACCCATATTCTCTTTCCCCTCACCATTTTATCCTATTTCCCCCGCCTTCCTCTCAGGCAACCATTCAATTCCCCTAGGACAATCCCCCAACTCCCACTAGTCCTACAACACCTCCCACCAGCCTAGCCCTGATCTACACACCATTCCCTTAGGCCTAGTCTTTATTCTCCCCTTCAACCCCAAGCCATGCCCTTATACCTCCCCTCCTACAGTCGCATTGCCCTGATTCCCCTCTCACCCAAAAACGAAACCCTCGATCCTACACTCCCCAAAGCCCTAGCCCTAATCCCCTGTTCCCAAAGCCCTAGCCCCAATCCCCTGTTCCCAAATCCTTAGCCCTAATCCCCTTTCCCCAAAGCCCTATCCCTAATCCCCTGTTCCCAAAGCCCTAGCCCTAATCCCCTGTTCCCAAAGCCCTAGCCCTAATCCCCTGTTCCCAAAGCCCTAGCCCTAATCCCCTGTTCCCAAAGCCCTAGCCCTAATCCCCTGTTCCCAAAGCCCTAGCCCTAATCCCCTGTTCCCAAAGCCCTAGCCCTAATCCCCTGTTCCCAAAGCCCTAGCCCTAATCCCCTGTTCCCAAAGCCCTAGCCCTAATCCCCTGTTCCCAAAGCCCTAGCCCTAATCCCCTGTTCCCAAAGCCCTAGCCCTAATCCCCTGTTCCCAAAGCCCTAGCCCTAATCCCCTGTTCCCAAAGCCCTAGCCCTAATCCCCTGTTCCCAAAGCCCTAGCCCTAATCCCCTGTTCCCAAAGCCCTAGCCCTAATCCCCTGTTCCCAAAGCCCTAGCCCTAATCCCCTGTTCCCAAAGCCCTAGCCCTAATCCCCTGTTCCCAAAGCCCTAGCCCTAATCCCCTGTTCCCAAAGCCCTAGCCCTAATCCCCTGTTCCCAAAGCCCTAGCCCTAATCCCCTGTTCCCAAAGCCCTAGCCCTAATCCCCTGTTCCCAAAGCCCTAGCCCTAATCCCCTGTTCCCAAAGCCCTAGCCCTAATCCCCTGTTCCCAAAGCCCTAGCCCTAATCCCCTGTTCCCAAAGCCCTAGCCCCAATCCCCTGTTCCCAAAGCCCTAGCCCTAACCCGTTCCCAAAGCCCTAGCTAGCCGTAATCCCTTCTCCCCAAAGCCCCAACCCTAATCCCATGTTCCCCTCAGGCTTGGCCCTCCATATGCGCCTAGGACTCCTCTACGTGACGGCCGGAGGGCGGTTGCTGCTGCTGCACCCCGCCACCCACCGGCGGGAGGTGATCGAGTTGGGGGCCCTTATGGGTGGTGTGGCGACCACACTCACCCTGGACTGGCTCAACGGGTTCCTTTATATCCTGGAGGACACCCAGGCTCCCCCGCTGAAACCTAATTCACTTGACCCTGAGAAGGACCTCGGTCATTTACCAGTCCCCGCGGTTGAGGCTTCTCCTGTCCATAACTCGAGTTTAGACCCCATCCCAGACCCCACAGACGATGGTTCAAAAAGTCCTAATAAAACCAACCCCAATTTAGACCCCGAATATTATGGGGGTGGGGAAGAAAATCTGCTCCCCGTCGAGGAATATGATGAAGGGGAGGAGAGGTCCCTGGGGATTCACCCTCCCCGGGCGACGTGGAACATCTGGCGGACAGACCTCACGGGGAAGAACTTAGAACTCGTGACCCCCAACCTGGACCACCGCCCCCTGCACCTGCAGGTCGACCCCCACAACGGGTGAGCCCACTTACCATCACTACCCCACCTGCTATCTCTACCCCACCTACCATCACTACCCCACCTACCATCACTACCCCACCTACCATCACTACTCCACCTACCATCACTACCCCACCTACCATCACTACCCCACCTACCATCACTACCCCACCTACCATCACTA